GTTGTCACCAGAATTACAGGTGTGGATAAAAGAGCATAACCCGAAGACTGCAAAGGAGGCGGCTGAACTTGCTGATGTTTTTGTGGCTGCAAGGAGGAAGAACTCATCTTGGGCTTTACAAAGCTGGAAAAAGGATGACCACAGGCAGCCTTAAGCCCAACAGGTTTCAGCTGTGGGTAAGCTCCCTGTAAAAAGATTTGACTCAAAGTTTCAGAGGAAAAAGCCTGTCTGTTACTTATGTGGACAGGGGGGTCACACCAAACCAATGTGCCCTCAAAATGCTGTTAAACTGTCCCAGATGTGTTTTGTGCCCAGGGAAGAGACTCTAAAGCCTGGAGCAATGCAGCCATTTATGGAGACCTTTGTGGAACTCAACGGTCAGGTACTGAAGGCTCTGATTGATACAGGGAGCACACAGACCTTGGTCCAGCAAAGGTATGTTTCACCCCAATCTGTTTGCACCAGTAAAACAGTCCCAATTCATTGTGTCCATGGCGATGAAAGGAAGTATCCAACAGCAGATGTCTATGTGACTGTAAAAGGACAAACTTACCTTCTTAATGTTGGAGTAGCAGAAAACTTGCCATTTCCAATTATCCTTGGTAGGGACCTACCAGTGCTTATTGACCTGATACATTACCCTCAGTGTAATGTTGTTCTAACTCGGGCTCAAGCAAAGCAGTCTGAGGAAATGGTTTCTGACCTTAGTACATTGCCATTTTACAATGTGGAATTTTCAACAGAGAAAATCAAGGTCAGGAAGTCCAAAGCCTTGCGGAGGAGAGAAAAGTTTCAAGGGACGGTGGTAGTTCCCTCTGAATTGCCGCAGCCTGAGGTACTCCAAGATTTTAAAATTCCTGGTAATATATTGGAGCTGCAGCACCAGGATCCAGATCTTGTTAAGTATTTTAAAGAGGCCAAAGTCAACAAAAATGGCTTTTGTATTCAAAATGATATTCTCTACAGAGGAAATGGGCCAAATAAACAGCTTGTGGTTCCAAAAACAGTTAGAGAAACTGTCCTGAAGTTGGGCCATTCTATTCCCTGGGCTGGCCACCTGGGGAAACATAAGACCTTAGCCCGCATAAAGTGCTGTTTTTATTGGCCTGGCCTACGTAAAGATGTTGTGCAGTTTTGTAGGAGCTGTCCAGAATGTCAAATTACATCAAACAGACTCCCCAACAAAGCTCCTCTCCAGCCTCTTCCAATCCTCAGTACACCATTTCAACGCCTGGGCATGGACATAGTGGGACCAGTGGAAAAGAGTAAAACAGGGAATCGATTTATGCTGGTGATTTTGGATTATGCAACTAAATATCCAGAAGTTTTTCCCCTGAAAGTTGTCAAAGCAAAGAATGTTGCATTCTGTTTGGTGCAATTCTTTGCCAGAGTAGGGTTTCCTCAGGAAATACTTACTGACCAGGGCACCAATTTTATGTCGAAACTGCTTAAAGATGTGTATCAGTTGCTGGGAATTAAGGGATTGAGAACAACACCTTATCATCCCCAAACTGATGGACTTACTGAAAGGTTCAATCAAACCCTTAAACAAATGCTGAGGAAATTTGTCAATGAAACTGGCTCTGACTGGGACCAGTGGCTTCCATATATTCTGTTTGCATACAGAGAAGTCCCACAGGCCTCTACTGGGTTCTCTCCATTCGAGTTGGTTTATGGCCATGAAGTGAGGGGACCCTTGGCTGTTCTAAAAGAACTATGGGAGGGGAAGCAAACTAACAAAAATCCTCTAAATGTTGTATCTTATGTACTCCAGATGAGGGAGAAGCTGGAGAAGATGACGACGTTGGCCCATGAGCACATGAAGAAATCTCAGCATAAACAAAAGGCCTGGTATGACTCTGCCGCCCGGGAGAGGGGGTTCCAGCCTGGCCAAAAAGTGCTTGTTATGCTACCTTCAGAGGATAGCAAGCTGCTAGCCAAGTGGCAAGGGCCTTATGAGGTAACAGAGAAACTGGGACCAACAACCTACAAAGTCTCTGTTCCGGGTCAAAGCCGTTCTACTCGGATTCTTCATGTGAACCTCCTTAAAGAGTGGGTGTCCAGGGACCAAGAGAAATCTGCCTCTTTCTACATACGGAGTACAGAAGATGAGGAAACTGAGGAGCAATATTTCCCTGTTTCTTCACCCTCCCAGCCTAGTTTGGATCATCTGTCAGAGGAACAACAGTTGGAGGTCAGAGATGCCTGTTCATTTAATGTGTTTCAGAAAAATCCAGGTTATACTGATGTGATAATGCATGACATTGTTTTAAAGAAAAATGCAGCTCCAAAACGAATGAGCTATCGCATTCCTGAGAGACTTCTGGAACCACTCAAAAGTGAAATTGAGGTAATGCTGTCTCTAGGGATTATTGAGACATCACAGAGCGAGTGGTGTAACCCAATCGTCCTTGTTCCTAAAAAGGATGGCACAATTAGGTTTTGCATTGACTTTCGCTACCTCAATTCAGTCTCCAAGTTTGATTCCTATCCTACTCCTCGTATCGATGATTTGATTGAGAAACTTGGCAAAGCAAAATACCTCACCACCATTGACCTTTCCAAAGGATATTGGCAAGTACCACTCTCCCCTAGGTCCAAAGAGCTGACTGCTTTCAGAACACCATGGGGTCTTTACCACTTTAAAGTGATGCCATTTGGACTTCATGGGGCTCCTGCCACATTCCAGCGTCTAATGGATAAGGTACTTAATGACCTTTCACATTTTGCTTCTTCATATCTGGATGACATCATTGTTTACAGCAAATGCTGGGATGAACACCTTCAACATCTAAAATTAGTTTTTGAGTGTCTCCAGAAAGCGGGTCTGACGGTGAATCCAGCAAAGTGTGCCATCGCCAACAGTGAAACAGAGTACCTGGGATTTGTCATTGGAGGAGGACTGGTGAAGCCACAAGTTAAAAAAATTGAAGCCATTCTGTCCTGTCCCATTCCACAGACAAGGAAACAACTTAAATCCTATTTAGGTATGTGTGGTTGGTACCACAAATTTATTCCCAATTACTCTGCCAGAGCTGCTCTTCTCACAGATATGACCAGTCTTCGGGGCCCGAATGTACTATTATGGTCTGAAGAGGCTAAGGCAGCATTCAGAGATATTCAGCAGGCGCTGAGCAAAGATCCTGTGCTCCATTGTCCCGATTTTCAGCAAGAGTTTGTTTTACAAACCGATGCCTCAGATAAAGGTCTTGGTGCTGTACTGCTCCAGGGACCACCAAATGATCGCCATCCAATTGCCTTCATCAGCCGAAAATTGTTTCCCAGAGAAACGCGGTATTCAACTATAGAGAAGGAATGCCTGGCTATAAAGTGGGCACTGGACTCACTTCGCTATTATCTTCTGGGAAGACATTTTGTTCTGGAAACTGACCACAAAGCTTTAAAATGGCTGAAGAAGATGAAGGACACAAATAGCCGAATAACTCGGTGGTACCTTGCCATGCAGCCCTACAAGTTTGAGGTGCATCACATCCCTGGCAGACAGAACATTACTGCTGACTACTTGTCCCGCTGTGCCAGCGAGCCTTCAGAGGAGGGGGAGTGTGTGGTGGATGATCCTCCCACCACCACATCGTGTTAGTATTTTCTTTTCTTGCTTTATATTATATTACAATTTGTGTTTAAGTTGGTTATTTTAGACAGGTATTTTCTAATGGGTGCACACTTTAGTTAATGTCTGTCTGAATGTTTATTTACACTTGGTCTTTTGTTTGAGGTGCTGCTGATACAAACCAGCTGGAGAAGGAAATGTGGAGCGTACCATCATTGAAAGACTGACGGGGGAGACTTGTTTCAAGAAGTTTTAAATTAGTTTGTCACTTAAATACTCATTTATTGTTTCTGTTAAGTAAGTTAGTTTTGCTTTATTTGTTTCATAGAATGGTTAATTTTGTATTTATTGGTTCTTTTGTTATGTTGTGCCTCCCTCATTTTGTCGACTTGGGTTACTCCATCCCTTTTTAAGCAGCCTTTAGTTCTTTGTTTGGAGGTCAGTTTTCTGTTTGAGTTGGATCCTCAGTTGACCTCAGTTAAGTTGGGCCCAGATTCTGTATTTAAGTTATTTTGTATTGCTTTTGAGCCTTTGTTTTCAAATTTTGAACACCTTTTGTCCTTATTTAAGTTTGGTCCCTCACAAGGGTACACTTTATTTTTTGATAAACTTTTTGTAACTCAGACTTATGGAGCCCCTAAAGGGACATGGAGGGAAATAATAAACTTTTGCGAGATCCCGCAATACTTTTGCGAGATCCCGCAAAACTATTGCGATATTCTACAAAAGTGTTGCGGGATCTCGCAAAAGTATTGCGGGATCTCGCAAAAGTATTGCAAGGATCTCGCAAAAGTATTGCGGGATCTCGCAAAAGTATTGCGAGATCTCGCAAAAAATAAACTTTTGCGAGATCTCGCAATACTTTTGCGAGATCTCGCAATACTTTTGCGAGATCTCGCAAAACTATTGTGGGATCTCGCAAAAGTTATTTTTTCCCCCTCCATGTCCCTTTAGGGGCTCCGTATAGACTGACTTTGTAAATGCATCTAATTTAACATTTGGTATAAATATTTGAGTTCACAAATACCTATGCAGGCATGGATCTGTTCAGTTGAGATGCTCTTTGTATTGTGAATTTATTTGTTTCTTATGTTATGTAAAGCGAATTAAGACCTTTTGTGTGATAGCATAAAAAAAATAAACATTTGAAGAACCAAAAACTTTTGTTTGCTGTTATAGATAAGCCAGAGCTACTAAATAATTGTTTTTCATAACTGCATCCAGCATAAGCAGCTGATTAAGCAAAAACTATATTCAATAGGAACTTATCGGTATTGACCATGAAAAGCAGAAAATTATCGGTTGACATTTTTAATATCGTAGATGTATTGACTATAATGTTATCATCATTCACCTAATAGTGCCTCTTGTTTCACAGAGTAGCACAATTCAACACATCGAAAGTTTCAGCTAGAATAAACAAACGTACCTCCTGGCATCGTCATCCTGACCTCGCCCTCTCTGCGTTCGAACCCACTGCTCCAGCTGCTGCATGGAGCTGGTTCTGCTCAGGTTGCGTTCAGGCTCGCTGATGGGACTCTGCTGGACAGGGACCCCCGTCCCATTAGCTTTACACGGCTCTCCTGATCCATTCACTTGGGGACAATGCAGCGTCCTCTCCGCCTCATTGGGAGTCGGGGGCGAGGTCACATTAGCTTTAACGGTCTCTGCCTGCGCGGGCTGTAGCTTAATACTGTTGATCTTTGTGAGGGGACGTTCACGCTCTGCCCCGTCCTTCTGGAAGCCGTAGCGCTCGGCGTCACGCTGTTTTCTTTGCTCTCCCTCAGCACCGGGGGTCACTGCGTTGCTTCGGTCACGGTCCACTTGAAGGTTACGTTCGTTGTTTTGGATTTCAGGCTGTGTGAGCGCTGGCTTGTGGTTTGCGACTTGACTGATTTCTCTTGGTCCGCTATCTTCCACTTTTAGCTTTTCCAACCTAAAAAAAGACATGAAGGAAGCAGTTAAATAATAAATGGAAAACTCCTTTCAACCTTTTGACCTGAAAGCAATAAAGCAACACACATCCAGTGATGGAAAGACAAATTTAGAAGAGTAGGATGTCAGCAATTGATTTTGACAAAACATACAGAAGGTTTGCTTTAATTATTTGACCAGATTCCACTTTTAAACTATAATTTTTTAGAGTGCACAATGTTTCCTCCAGCTGCCAGAGCGCCAGGATCAGATATCTCCAATAAAACCGTGTCTTCCGACACCCAGGCCTCTAATCCGCTTCTACCTGCCATCCTCCTCCCTCTAGAAAGACGTTTACTTTTCTATGCTCCCTAGAGATGCATTCAGAGGTAATAGGCACAAACTGCTTAGCCTGAGAGCTAGCCGAGGTCAGAACTTCAAAGTTTCACAGGTTTCTTGAGTGACACGGCTCAGTAGGTTACCAGCAACAGAGCTGAAGAAAAGACACTCTTTCAGAGTTTCCACTCAGACATTTTTAAATAGTAACACTAGTCACATAATGTCTTCTCCAGCTTCCTGTGACTCAGTTAACTACACAGAAAAAAAAAATAGCTGGACCTTATGTGTCTGTGTTTATTCTAGTTGTGCTGTATAAACCGTAGAACATAAAACAGTGGTTAGTCCATGTTTCAACATATTGTACACTCGGGAATTTCTCATGTTTTGTCTCAAAACCTAAAGCATTCAGAGAAAGAAAAAAAAAAAAAGGTAAATGAGAAAAGGGTCAGTAGTTGTTTTTAGTTAACAGAAGCCACTTTCTCTACAGATCCAATTAAATTAATTTGGGTATTGCTATAGATTAGCAATTACGTTGAGGTTTGATCTAAAATATTACATTATTGCTCTGTAGATGTTGTTTCTTTTAGCTGCTGGAAGGTGAACTTTGACCCCAGTCACAAGTCTTCACGGGTTTCCTTCTGGGACTGGCCCCCATCGACTCCATCCAGCTCCTCTGTCCCTGCTGAGGAATTTCACCTCAATGTTTTACCCAGGGGATGCTGTATTCATTATTAATAATCATCATTATGATCATTAATGTCAAATAGGGCAACTCTGATGATATTCTGCCGGATTTTCTTCCACATGTTTGCTGCTCTCTCTAAATCAGCGGTCCCCAACCACCGCTGAGTCTGAGTGATGTTTTATTTAGAAAAATATAAAAAAATTGCGGTATTCTCTCCCAATTACATCAGTCGGTGCATCCATGCCTCTTGACACAGGTTAATTCAGTTCAAGACTCATCCTATCTATAACATCCTATCTTTGTGAAGCGGGATTTTCTGCGGTTACAGCGACCAAAACAAAGCTACGGAGCAGACTGGACATCAGGAGCACACTCCGTCTGTCATTTTCTCTGATTACGCCTAGATGGGACCGGCTTGTTGTTTTATTTTCATGCTGTTTGTATTTGATTTTACGCCAGTCGTATCATTTTACCGATGTATTCCAACATCCAGCTGCCATGCATGTGGGCATTGTCAGTTTCACTAAAGCTCTAGTGAATTTCAATGGTGAAGTACTCTGGAAATCTTCAATTGTTCAATTGTTGTTGATTGCAGATGTGTCTAGTTACAGAAGAGGATTAGGGCCACTGAAAAAAAACAAAAAAGTTGACTGATTTTTTTAATTTTATTTCAGTTTAGTATGGGGAAAAAGTCAGAATTCTGACTTTAATCTCAGAATTCTGACTTTAATCTCAGAATTCTGACTGAATTCTGACAATAACAAAGTCAGAATTCTGAGATTAAAGTCAGAATTCTGACTTTTTCCCCATACTATACTGAAAAAAAAAAAAAAAAGTCAACTTTTTTTTTTTCTCAGTGGCCCTAATCCTCTTCCGTAGTCTAGTAGTTCCCATTGATTTTGCTTGTAAAGCGGGGAGAATGGCGCTAGGCTTACCGCACCGTGACGTCACTGCTGGAAGATGGCAGGAGGGAGGGGCTACTATATTTGGGCAAAAATGGACGCTCCCGATTGCGTCGAAAAATATTGTTTTTCTTTCTTTTTTTATAATTAATGCTAAATTCATTAAATCACCACAAATGCAGATAATGATCCATTTGTTATTCTATGCTGACCAGATTTTTTTTAGGGGTATCTGAGTAATAGGGAGGGTATAGATACTGTTGAAAGCGCTCTCTATCTGGCCAACCAATTAAAACTGTATAGAAGCATCATTCAGATTAATATAAACAGAAGTTTTTCAGGAAATAAAAAAAGAAAGTCAAAGAATGACCGACCAACCTCTCATCCCCTCAACCTTCTGCAACATCCATCAACAACCCAAAACCAGCATGCCCACATGCGGTTTGTGCTCATTGTTGTTTGTAGCATACTACAACAACAAATTCAACATGAGAGAAGCAGCTTCTAGAATCATCAAAAGGCGGTATTGAGCTGCTGCCAAAGATCTTCATTTTGATTTAACGGGGGGTTTATTAGTACTCTCTTCCAGCACAACAATCAGGGTGGAGAAACAAATGAAAGACAGAGAAGTCCTGAGTAAATGTCTACTAACATTCCCCTTAAACATCCGCTTCTTTTTCTGTTCCAAACTGCAGCAAAGTGCTGCTTAATAAGGCTCCTCCAAACCTTTTGGATGGCTCTGAATGCACGTTTGCGGCGTCCGTCATCACTTTCATCCACGACTCCATCTCTTTTCCGGTGTCAGTGCAAAAGTAGTACGTCCGCATGTTGGGATGTGTTGCCTGAGAGGATGAAGGATAGAGCTATTACCTGAAACAGAAAGATAAAAAAAAGATTATAACAGTGACCATAGCTGTTATGCATGGTTTTCTTAAATAAATAATATATTGAGGAAAGATATACGTGAAACTCCACTGGCTGTGACCATCTGTGCCATGCAGATAAATCAAATGCTTAAGTCACTAAAGTTTCACGCATACCGACGGATTAAGGCGGTAAATCTGCCTGCACTCACCATGCAGTTCATTGTGTAGAAAACATCCCGTTCTTCTGTTCCCTCGCAGCGAACAAACCAAGATAATATTGTGAGAATCCAAAACAGAGACACAGAGTATTTACTCAACAACCTCAATATCCTTTTTTTAAAGGTTTGTTGTTTCAGAAACAAAACAAAAAAACACCATTGTTTGACTAATTCACCCCAAATATGCATGAAAACTGACAGTCGACAAAAAGCATTTAAATTTCTGACCAGAACAGATAGAGATCTAAGAATAAGAATGTAATCAACCAATCATGGAGGAGGTTGTGCCCTGTGCGCTATGGTTTTCCTGTTTTCTTAAAGTATCTCTGTTTTAGAGAGTAGAAGTTGGACGAGAAGAACTCTCTGTGGTTAGAGACCTTCGACAGACTCCTGAACGTCTGTGTTCAGCTGTTTTTGGACAGAGAAGCTTTGTTGTCTCGGAGGGTTTTATGAGGAACGGACCAATACTACATGCATCCCGAAAACTTTATAAAAACATCCTTTGGAAAACAACATTTTGTTGTTTTTATGATGGGGCAGCAGCCATTCAAGGACTGAATCTTAAAACATATTTAACATAAAAAAACAGTCCATATTTCTCCTTTAATCAGATAAAAAATAACGGTAAAGAAAGTTTTCCTGTCACAAAGATTAAATGCTGAACGTAACATTTTCTAAAAATATGTCAGTGATGAATGCAGTTCTTTTAGAAAACTAGCACACTTAGCTTCTTTAACACAACTTTAAAGTTTTAGGGTTTTTTTCCGGTTAGAAAACAAATAGAACTTTATTTACCTTTATTTTTTTATTTACCTATAGTAAATAAACTATGAAACACAAAGTTTAATTCTGAAAGTAAAGAAAAACAAAGACAAACCTTAAAAGCAAACTTTCTATTAATGTGATCATCCACAGACAGCAGGGATATCTGGAAGCTGGGCAGGAGGATGCTGCCAAGAATTCCCTCTTCCTTCTCATCTGGAGAGAAAAAACAAACAAAAAAACACACAAGGTCAGAGGTCGTTTCCATAACAGCTCACTTTTCAGTTTAGTACCTTGTTCTTAACGTTTTCATATACAGCTAAAAACGAATTTACTGGCAGACCTGTTAAAAATAACACTTTTCAATCATTTCACTTTTCAATTCCACCATTAGGAAAAAGCCAACTCTTAAATTAGGAGCAGTTACATACAGGAAAAAAAGGAGAATAATTGCTATTAATAAAATAGGAGTGAGACTATCATTATATAATAGGAATGGAACGGTTTATGAAAACCCTCAGAACCGTTCGGTTCGACTGTCTCTGTTCAGTTCGCGTGTGTTGCGTTCGGTTCATGCGCTGCTCCTTTTTCTCATAGGCGAAGCGTTTACACTCCAGAGCAGAAGGTGGCGCTACTGCGACCAAAGCCAACTACCAGTAGTAAACAAGAAGAAGAAGAAGCGAAGCAGCGTAGCCGGGTGTAGCATAAAAAAATCAGTTGTTGTGGAGAATTGTGTGGGTATGGCGAGTGGGAAAGAACAGGAGTTGGAAGACGCGCCAGCAGCACTTTATAGGTCTGCTGTATGGGACCACTTTGCATTTAGAGTGACCTACGATGACGGCGGAAAGAAAGCTGTGGATAAAAGTGCAACAGTGTGCAAGCATTTACACGCGTTGTTTATGCTAACAGCAACACGACCGACATGTCAGCTCACCTGCGGAGACATCATCCCAGTGAGACAGTTGGAGAGGGAAAGAGTCGACGGGACAACTTCAGTTCTATCAAAACTAGACCTAAGTCTAGTTTTGATAGAACCTATGCTTCTTTTTTAAAGATTGTTTGCCAAATAAATGAAGCACATGTTGGAACTATCGCTGTCTCCTCTCTTGCAATGTCAGAATCCCACCTACTTTTAACCTAAGACTGTCACAATGATGTATCAAATGTCAGACTGCTTTTTTCTTTCAGTTTTAACCTGACTATACAAGACATAATAAATTTTCCTAACAATCAACATATACCGAACCGAAAACCGTGACCACGAAACTGTGAACCGAACCGAACCGTGGATTTTGTGAACCGTTCCACCCCTATTATATAACCTTCTGGTGTACCTTTTATAAGCATCTTTTTACCAAGAGAACACAATTTACAGTCCAAACATCACAAGTTTGGAGCATGTTAGGTCCTTTAGGGCCCTGGATCCTCTCTAATGCTCATTTCTCTTGATTTTTCCTCACAGGCTCTCATTATGCTACGTTCAGACCGCAGCAGGAGCAGCAAAAACGCGCACGCTGCTTCATTTTTTATGCTTGTCCAAGCATCTTTGCTGCTCTAGCTGCGCGGTGGAAAGTGGGTCTGTTGCGCGTTGGGCGGAGCTACCCTATCCTTTTATTGCCTGTAACAATGGCGGATGAAATCGAGATTCGCTTGGCTTAATTTAATGAATAATGCTACGTTCAGATCCCAAGCACTGGAAGCAGCAAAAAAGCTTCTGCTGCTTCATTTTTGACGCTTGTCCACACTAAGGTCAGACGTCCTGTAAAGTGTGTCCAGATGTGTCTAATGCTCCAGCTGCTCCTGTGTTCGACGGCAGAAAACGGCTTTGCTATATTTGCTGTGATCAGCGGGTAAAAAGTAGTTTTAATATGTTTTTAAGTGAGAAAGTCCATCTGAGTTCATCAAGATTCGGATCCTGCCTTCAAATATTATTTTGCCGTCAGAGCCGCTCAGACCCCACATACCGGCGGTCTGAGCGGCTCTGACGGCGGTGCTCTGTCCCTGGAAATCCCGGCAGCCTCTGGCCCAGTCGCCACCTCGTGGTTTTCCGCTAGAAGGCGTTTTTCTTGTACGTAATCTAAACAGCAGGCACCAGAATAATAAAATGGAACACATATTACCAGCAGGTTTCGACATTTTAGGTTCATTTAGGTGTTAATAAACTGTTTCAGAGGTGCGATCTGTATCAGCAGTGCTGTGTCTGTCTCGCTGCCAGCTCCCAGATCAGCTTCTCTGATTGGTTGATGTGGCGTGTCGAGCAGCAAAAGTTACATTTTTCCAACTCCAGCAGCTGCTGATTCTGAATTCAGATTGTCGGTAGCTCGTGAGGCGCTGCTCCTGCTGCTCATGACGAGCTGCAGGATCTTTTGCTGCGCCTTGATGCGCATCAACCTTTGACTTTGCATGTAAACTAGATGCTTCCTCTGCTTCTGCAGCATGCGGTCTGAACATAACATTAGGATTTAGGTGTTAGAACTGAGATAGCCCTGGTTGATTATTTTACACCCTTAATTTTTGGTTAATCTGACTGATAATTTTGGAAAACTGTCTAGTATCAACTCAGTAATCACTCAGTTAAACCAGATTTGAACTGATTTAAAATCAGTTAAATTAAATAACTTATAAAGACAGGCAATACAGGTTTCCCTGTCCCATTAGAAGATGAATAGGACAGCAGGATAGTAGAGCGTCCTCTAGGTTCTGCTCTATAAATCTATATTTGTCTTGTGCTAGATCCACGTGAGAAACTGGCTTCCTAAACAGCCGATCTTAGTCTCATCTGACCAACATCCGAATTTCCAGAGAGAGAAAAGGTTTTTTCCTGGGCTGCCTCCCAAAGAACTGGTTGGGAAGGATGGCAAATGGTTGTAATGGAGACTTGGTGACTCCTTTTTCTAACCACAAGCCTTGGAGTCTGACTTTTCTCCCTAACCAACCCCTCCACTGTACATGGTGGCAAGAGAAACCTAGATAGGCAGTGAAAAAACTAATGGATGTCTGTGCCAAATCACATTTATACACCAGGCTAATATCGTAGATAATCATTGATTGTCTAATATTGAGCCCTAAAAGTCTTAATAAAAGTCTAAAGTAAAGACGGGATATTTTAAAGGGCAGATCTGTGTCACATTACAGGCTGTGCTTCTGGTCATAATGAGTTTTTAAATCCAGCAGTTATGCCAACCGCAGTGTCCCTGTCTGCAGGTCAACAGCTTTACAGACTTATCATTGAATCCAGCATCCGCCCTCCGACATGTTGGTTCAATGTTACGTATCAAGACTCCTCCTCAGATGCTTTTTAAAAGAAAAACAGAAACAAAACATAGTGTTCACATAACCGCAGAGGTATGTGCAGAACAACGGCAGTCTTGTGGGATTCTTGGGTAAACAATAATAATCTGAGCTGATAAGAGCAGAAGCAGCAAAGTTAAGGACCTCACTGCCTACTTTCTGCTGATTGATCCGTTTTCTCAACATTTCTATCTGGATAAAGTCTTTAGTCTCCTTCTGTTGGTGGCTTTTGAGAGGCAGTGGGGGGAAAGATGGTGGCAGGAATTACATTTCCTAGAAATGTCAGACTGGACGTAATCTTGATCAGACACATATTTGATGAAAGGTCACATTGAGGCCATTTAAAATGAAAAAGAAAATAAAAAAACAAATAAATACATCCGACCCAGCTCCCTATACAAACCCAAACGTGACTAAATAAGAATAAAAAATAAAAAAATAAAAATAAAAACTCCTGCTTGTGAAAAAAAAAAAATATATATATATATATATACGCAGGGGTATTATTATTTTTCAGTGAATGAGGTTTTAATAGGAATAGGTGGAGTGCAACTTTTCGACTTCTGTTATTTGCTGTTGTTTCTCTAAAAAAATGCATAATGATATTACAGCTTTCACTGATTTATTTCAAATTTGAAACATTGTCTAGCCTGTAAGGTGTAAGAAAACAAAACAAAAAAACAAACAATTAATCGAATCAAATCGAATCATGGTGTATTCTTCAGTATCGAAAATAATCGAATTGTTGGGTCAGGAAATCGATACTAAATCGAATTACCATGATGGATGTGATTTACACCCCTAGTATTAGCTTCTGCTGTTTCTATTTGTGAACATTTGGCTGGTTTTCTGCCTTTGATCGCCATATTAACTGGAAAACCGGTTTAACATAAGGGAGTATGCACATGTGCATCAGAGATAAGTCAAAGTCTAATGCTCTGAGTGTAAGATTAGCACCTGAACAATAACTAACTGAAAAAGATTGAAGCGGTGGCTGTGTGGTACTAGCCCGCAGCGCTGGACTTACCTCTATAGTAGAACAGGCACAGGTCAGAAAGGACAAACCACCTCTTTTTCCACAGCTTCATGCCCGTGCTGTCCTGTAAATAAAACACAGGAGCTGCTTATTTCTACAAAGGTTTGTAGAATAACATTTAGCTCAAGCAATACAACTTACTGAGATATTTACAGCAATAATACATATGTTAAATAATGGTGAGTTTGTCAGAAATAATAATAAACCTTGACACATTGTGACACACTGTTCATCTTAAGGTTTATTTAAGCTAGACTGTTTGATTAAAGTATTTTTCAGGAGTTTAAGAATAACCTGTTCTACAAAAAAGAGCTAAAAACCAACAAAGTTATTTTTCTCTGCTAACATTGGCTTTTAGAAGCAGCTCAGAGAGCTTTTCAGCCTGCTGTGTGAAAAGGATAAAGGGTAAATACGAGAGTATTAGCTGACCCTTTAATGGAAACTTGAGCCTTAATCGTAGATTCTATCCGGAGGAGGGACCTCAGCAGCTCTGTCATTATAGTCAAACAGCGTGTGGGCTGCAGTTTCTTTTACCACCCAGAATATTTTATACATTAGGATTCAGGAAAAATACAAATGGACATCTAGCATTTATTTTTTAAAGCACAGTTATTTTATTATTCGCTAAGGAATACATTTGTTCAAACTTCCTTGGGACCTATAGAGGCGTTCTCCTTTGCCAATCATGCTGTGTTGATTTCCCAGTGGATCCTTCTTTCAGCCAAAGAGTTCAATGGCTTTCAGCCTTCAATGAAGCAAGGAAATAAAAGTGCAAATCCAGCTTTTATTCCGGGTAGGAGATTTGTGAGTCTTTTGCACTACTTACATCTTCTTGATTAAAGTCTCCAAAGAAAAGCAGCTGGCAGCTGCAGCAAAGTGTCACATGTGAACATAAAATGCACTGGGAGCGTTGCAATCACAGCTAATTGAGTTTCTCTGCAGGTAGGCGTCCAGCCTAACTGAACGCCGTTTCAAATTCCACCCCCCTACCTGAGGAATGCAAACCAGGTGCAATGTGTTGAAACGTTTTCCCTCCTCGCCGTGCAGAAATACCAGACAGAAATATGCATTAAGAAACATTCTTTGCTCATTTGCTTCTGTGTAATCTAGTAGTAAATCAGTTAGAGTATTAGTTTGTTTGTATTGCTCTATTTTAGACAAAGGTTTAAAGGGACAGAGAACCACTGTGCTGATAGATCTACCATAAATAGATTCTGGTTCTGTTTTGACTTTATGCTGTCCGTCTCACCTGTTTGTAAAGCCAGTTTCTCTTGATTACGGGGGCACTGGGATTCCGCCTGATGGAGTTGGATCGTTTCCCAAAGTTATGAATTTTCTTCGAAGGTCTTGAAGGCTAAAAAAAAAAACAGATTTAATGAGAAATGACAGTTTTCCTCATTCATTTAAACATGTCTTCAAATGGTACCTCCTGTAAATACCTTAACCTCTGAAAGGTCTTCCTATTTTGTCATGTTACACAAACTTCAATTATTTTAATTGAGATTTTATATGACCCAATTTACAGTACGGGAGAAAATGGAAGGAAATAACATGTTTTTCTAATTTCTTTCACTAAAAATAAAAAAAATAAAATAAAATCTCCAATCCGTTTGGGTTTGTCCTCTAACTTTACAACCAGTATTTTACTGTAGATGGAAATTTGTTGCTCCCTTTCTTTGCAAAATAACTCAATCTCACTCGGATGGAATGGAGAGTGTCTGTGAAGCAAAATCTACAAGTCCTGCCAAAGAATCTATATGATTTAGGTCTCTTTAATCCATACATGTGTTTGTTTTAGTGCTGTTCTACTAGACTTCCGATTGCACTTGGATTCCCTAGATTGTTATAAAGGCAGCAGAGTAAAGGGGCGGACCACACATGCATGAAGAACTTAATGGCTGGTTATACTCCTGCAGCAGTGTGTTTGCATATTTTTGATTTATGCCCTGTTTTTAAGCGTGGTCTGCGCTATGTTATTCCACGCCACAACGCAAGAGAGACAATCAGGAACTAGCTCTGGGTCTAGATACAGCCGAGGCGGTGAGGAAGAGGGACATGAGGGCGAAAAAGAGGTGGGAAAAGGGTCCCAGCGTCCCAGTGACTCATCTCAGTAGAGTCCTGCAACGGGACGGGTCACCCGCTAAAATGCTCTTTTGCGGGTGAAAAATACATAAATAAAAATAAATGGGTCGGGCGGATATTTTTTTAGTGCGGGCGGGTAGTTGGTGATTTCTTTTTATGCGTGTGTGTTGTTATGGACATCAGAAATGTTATATTAATCAGGCACTGGGGTCACCCTTGTTGTAGCTTAAAGCCCTGCCGGCAGTGTGGGCTTCCCTCCAAAAAGGCCACAGACAGTGCATACACGTCTGCTGCAGTGTTAATGGCGCTGTTCTGCAGCGCAGCGTACTATAGCCTATTACTTGATGTGTTAACGGGTCGGGTTGCGGGTTAAATATCAACGGGTCGGGTTCGGATTTGAATTGAAGATATCCACGGGTGACGGGTCGGGTTCGGTAGTCATCCTAACGGGTTCGGGCGGGTGCGGGTTGGTAAAACTCGACCCGTGCAGGACTCTACGTCACAGTATCCCGGCGGCCGGAAATGCTTGTGACACAAGGCAGCGGGCGTCAACACATCCGCAGCGACATCTGCTGGACTGGAAGTTGAATTCCACTTGATTTGGCTGATGTGCGCCATTTTATTTGTTCATTTTTTTTTTTTATAATCGATTCTTGCCTTCAAGAATCGATGCAGTAGATCACAAAAATTAGAATCGCGATGCATCGTCATGACGATTATTTTGCACACCCTTAACGGGTCGTATTCCGCAATGTTGGTCACACAAAAAAAACAAGCCGGTAGGTTACCAAACAGGAAATATGGATAGTGTAGAGTGGATGTAGATTTGACCAATCAGAGGCCTCCTGACTGCGGCATTATCTGCAGTCGCCTACGATTTTGGAGCGGTGTAGCAGAGTGTTTGCGGAAGGTGCAGGAACATAACTGCGTTAACTGTGACACAAAACCTGGTTTCTGAGTATAAACCAGCCTTTATTCTGTGTATTATTTCCATTTTATTACTATGCAGGACCCATTTATTTACATAAAAGTTTGTGGTTTTAACTCACCAAATGCGTCAAAAGCTTCTATATCTGATAGAGTGACAGTAACATGATAATAATCCTGCACCCGACTTTGATACTCACTCTTCCTGCTGGACTGTTGGAGTTTGCGGCACAATCCGGGATGGGCGTGTTGTTGGAGGCCTCACTCATGGTGATTGATAGCCGTTCTTTCTTTTCATTCGCTGGCACTTTGGGGGCGGTTCTACACAAGGGGACATAAACCAAATCCTCAGTCAGACATACAGTGCAGACCATTTCCAACTTATTTAATCTGAATCAGCTTCAGAAAACTTGAAAAACAAGGAGGACAGAAGGTTGATGCTCTGCTCCCCTCTCATTCCTCTGAAGTCAAAGCCCTCTGGATAATGAGATCCCAGCATGGGCTTATAAATCAAACCAATTACTCCCACCATGTCAGGGCAGATCATTTTTCCAGCCCTCTGACAGTTTTACAGTAAATGGTTGTGAGGTCTGTCCAAATGATAGACAGAGCTGCAGTTTGGAAAAAGAAACAATTAATACTAATATGTATAAACCAATAAATACAATATTTAGGTTTATATGCCTTAGCATTGGAGGCCCTGTTGAATTAGATGGCCGACATTCTTCTTGTGGGGCTTAGATGAAAAGGACGAGATGAGGACCAGACTCAAAGCTGCACTAATGAAGGAATTATTAAATCTATAACTCATTTTATAGCCTTGGGTAAGACCAGGATGGCTGCTGAACTGTCTCAAGCTAAACTAAGGTTTAAAAATGTTATCCCTTTGAAACTACTAACATTTTCAGGCAGACCACTGCAGTTTAAAATCGTTTTCATTAGAGAGCTGCAATGATTGCAGATACCTTAGAGTTTACACTGGAAAAACAATCTAGAAATAGGTAAAAATTCCTTAAATACAGTGTATTTACCCTTGATTTGACTAGTTAAATTAGATAGTTTGCAAATAGAAGGAGTATTTTTACTCTTAAAATAAGATAATTATATAATATGCACTTGAAATAAGACAATGCAGTTGCGTTTGCTTATTTCAATCTAAATTGTCTAAATTGGCAAAATATCTCTTTTATCTCCTCAATTCAAGAAAAAATGCACTTATTTTATGGAAAAACAACTTATCTAGATTTCGATTTTTTTTCCAGTTTAAGTAGCTGTTCTAAAGCTGCTGCCACCCACTGCCAGTGTTGGGCACGTTACTTTGAAAAAGTAATTAGTTATAGTTACTAGTTTCTTCTCTCAAAAAGTAACTGAGTTACTAACTGAGTTACTCCAAAATAAAAGTAACTAGTTACTAGTAAAAGTACCCTCACCGGCCCCCACCTTCTCGCCGTCTGTTTCAAAAGCCAGCTGAATAGAGCGGACGACAAAGACAAGAACCTGCAGAGAGTTTTGCATTTATTGCAACTCAACGTAAATGACATCAGGGGGGGAACGCTATCTGACGGGCCTATAAACCCGGTCAGATAGTTTTCCCCTTTTCTTAAAGGAGAATTCCGGTTTTTAACACTTTTAGCCCATTTTCTGTAGTGTCCAGGATAAAATTGAATGATCGACACCAAAATTTTGACAATTGGTCCTGTCTCTGCTTTTTGGCTCATTTAGAATCCACCCCTGGCTGCTTTAGAATGGCTTCCATAGAGCATGTCCGATAATGTCCTTAAAACAACCTTAAACGTTCTTTTTTTAAAATATGCTACTCACCGGGTCGTCAGCGCTGTTCAATGACGTTCCAAAAAAAGTTTCGTAAAGAAAAAACGTTCCTGTAGTGTTTTATTTAGCATTTTGTAAATCCCATTGAGTTCTGTTGGAATAGTCAATATCCCTCCGCCACCGGAAACGGAAATGGGGCCTGTTTACACAGTTGTAGTCTTTTCGCTTCACTCTGTGTACTCCGACGTCGAGGTGCTAACGTCTCTGTTAAACACTTTAAAAAACTCTGAAAATGGAATACGAAAGGTGGATTCTTGATTCTCGACGTCGGAGTACACAGAGTGAAGCGAAGAGACTACAACTGTGTAAACAGGCCCCATTTCCGTTTCCGGTGGCGGAGGGATATTGACTATTCCAACAGAACTCAATGGGATTTACAAAATGCTAAATAAAACACTACAGGAACGTTTTTTCTTCACGAAACTTTTTTTGGAACGTCATTGAACAGCGCTGACGACCCGGTGAGTAGCATATTTTAAAAAAAGAACGTTTAAGGTTGTTTTAAGGACATTATCGGACGTGCACTATGCAAGCCATTCTAAAGCAGCCAGGGGTGGATTCTAAATGAGCCAAAAAGCAGAGACAGGACCAATTGTCAACATTTTGGTGTAGATCATTCGACTTCATCCTGGACACTACAGAAAATGGGCTAAAAGTGTTAAAAACCGGAATTCTCCTTTAACATGGGGGGAACGTTATCTGGTGTGGTGTTAATATCAGGCTGCATTACCTCTACTCATGGGTGTGAAGTTTTTTAACAGGGCGTTCAGATCTGGTGAGTGTATGAAATTAATAACTGTGGATGTCTAATTCTGAAATCCTGCGTGTTTGGGTTGTTATAGATACTGCAACATCTATCTATCTATCTATTTATCTATCTATCTATCTATCTATCCATCCATCCAACATTTGATCACAGCTCTCCGTAGTTCCTCCGTGGCGCGAGCACAGGGCGGCGGTTAGTAACACCATTAATCCCATCCCTGCCCACTGCTAGACAGCTGGCTGAAAGAGGCGTGCTCACTAACAGAATGTAAAAAGAACTGCGCTTGAGCCGTTAGCCCAACTCAATTCAATTCAATTCAATTCAGTTTATTTCTATAGTGCCAAATTCACAACACGTCATCTCAAGGCACTTTACAGTTCTACCAGATCATACAGTCAAATTGATACAAAGTTTTCTATCTAAGGATACCAGTTGATTGCATCGACTCATTGACTCAAATACAATCCCTTACACTAAGCATGCTTGTAGCGACAGTGGAGAGGAAAAACTCCCTTTTAACAGGAAAAAACCTCCAGCAGAACCAGGCTCAGTGTGAGCGGCCATCTGCCGAGGCCGACTGGGGTTCAAGGAGACAGAAGCAGAGATACAAAAAGCAGCTGTAAAAGGCGGCCCCGAGACCAGAGGATATCCTGGTGTGGGCCTAATGGTTGGGGCATAGAGGTTCCAGAGGTTCGAGCCCCACAGCCTCCACTCTGGGTCCCTGAACAAGTCCCTTAACTCCACACTGCTCCCCAGGCGCCGAACGACGGCAGCCCACTGCTCCCCAAGGGGAATGGGTTAAATGCAGAGAGTGAATTTCGTTGCTCTGTACTTGTGACGGTGTAATGACAATAAAACCTGGAAAAAAAAAAAAAAAAAATCTGCTTGTTCACTTAAGTGTCACTCAAAAGAACTAAAACTGCAATAAGGACTAACCACCACCTAATTCAAACTATTTCACAGTTTTGCTTAAGTCATTCATGTTTAATCATTTCACAAGTGTTTTGTGAGAGTATTTTGTTTTTGTTTTTTGACTGAATGATCAGTTCAGCTCTAAACTGCAGCTTCTCCTAACCAACCCATCCATGTGAAAAGCCTACTAGCATTCTTCATGGTTTACTATGAGTCACTACTACATACAGTACATCTGTTAGTTTAGACATTTAAAAATAAAACATGCAATAAAAAAAAGAGGCAACAGGATCTGAAGTTTTTTTATTTCACATTAAAGGTGGATTTATTCAGACGCCGTGCTGTAACCTTTAAGGTTCCCAGACAGATGGGATGATGAGGAGGATGTTCAGTGACGAGCATCAGAGCGAGATGACCAACACCAGAAGCATGAAATGAGTAAATAGAATAACAATCATAAGCTCAGTTTGTATTGTAGGTATTTAGAAGGAAGTTTACACAATGCAGGGACTAGAAATAGATTTTGGGGATTTATTTTCTGTCCATGTATCTTATTTCTACCTGTTGATCAATATGACCCGTATAAGTATTAAGTGAGTTTATATTTCCAAAAAATTCTGATACAAGTTAGGGCAAAACTGAATGAAGCAGCTACTTGACATTACGACATACCTGAGATTTGATCATTGCCTCATAAAGCTGAGTATTAAAAAAACAGAAGAGTATTTCCTCATTCCTGTTCTTCAGTTTCTGTAAATGTGAATAAATATACCTGTCCAGAGAAAAATACATCTGGAAACACAATAAGAGAAGCAATAGTCTAAACAAGTGTGTGACTAATGCTCTCATGAGATGACATCAATGCTCTGACTCAGATGCTCACACTGAAAGACAAGAGCAACTGAAATTTGGCTTCTCTCCCATCTAATGAGCTCAGAAGCAAACCAGCTCTAAACATTTTCTGCTGCGCTATAACAGATAAGGCTCAAACTGGACTATAGTCACCGATGAAATCAATCCGCTACATTTGGGGACGGATGCAGAGAGACGACCGTCTATTGTCCTCAGAGATCGGGCTCTATTTGATGCTCTATTTGGCACCGAGCCACTACTCAGCTGTGAGCAGCGGATAATTAGTTTGGACCTGATAATCAATCTTCATGAAGTGAAGCTTAAAAGAAATCAGTGTTAAATAGTTTTTTTTTTAGCATACCAGCTGCCATATGATAAAAAGACTGACTGAGGATAGTGATTAGTATTAAAATTAACTTTTGTTCCTGATTTCAAACATCATGGGTTCCTGTTCACTAGATAAGGGTAGAATGTAGCAGATCAGCTGCTACCACAGTGCAGACGCTGCACTTGTCTGTTGGTGGTGAAGAGAGAGCTGAGCCAAAAGGCAAAGCTCCCAACCTACCAATAGGTCTTCGTTGTTACCCTCACATATTGTCTTTAAATCTGGTTTATGACTAAAGTGTCAGGACTCCTGTTTTGTGTCTGTGTTTTCTGTGTTTGTCTCTCTTCATCCACCGGGGGGCACCTGGTTCTGGTCCGCCTCCTCACACACTTGCGGATGGTTTCCTCGTTAAACGGAGTTTTCTTAAGCTGCTGACTGCCACTACTTCGACGCCAGAGTGTTTGCCAGTTTAGGGTACTCTAGCCTAGGCAGAAGATCAACTGAAGAAATTAATTGCTCTCCTACATCCACCTGCAAAACAGCCAATCAGCTTTGAAGCTCCACAAAAGCCAATCGGCATCCAAAGTTCATCTTAAAAGGCCTCTGATCCGCGACTTCTACTCCTAGAGCGCAGGC